AAAGGTGATAGTTATCTTTGTACCCCCAGACCCTGGAACAAGAAGAGATGCAAGATCCCAACAACTATGTTAAGTGTTTAAATTATATTATAAGCAAAGCCTACAGTTTGGCTTTCTTAACAGTTCTGGAGGCCTGATAGGACAAATAGTGGTAAACCTATCTGCATGGTTCCATTTTGCAGCTGTTTAGCAGCAAGGAATGAAGAAGAGTTGTCTGATGCAAACAACTTATTCCCTAAACAATATTACAAACTCAGAGAAAAGAGCTGGCAAAAATTTTAGGCAATGCAAACACAGGATGATAATGAGCATGTAATTTGTTAACTACCTGGCTGGAACTAACATTCAACTTGATGAATTTAGTTTTGGTGTAACTACTCTAGAATCTAAATTAAGCTCTCTAACCTTGTACTTTTAAAGTGAGATGCAGCAGCAGCTTCAAAACCAGACAATTAAAACAGCTCCCTCACTAGCAATACGAGCGAGAAAAGGACTACACTGACGAAGTGCCACTTCTACTGCTACTCTGACATGAGAGAACACACAGCCAACTCTTACTGATGACACCCTCTAATAACAACTCGAAAAACCAACCTCCTCCAAACAATTACCTACAGATTGTTTGTGTAGTAGTGTTAGGTTGGGATAGCTTGGTTAAAAAAGGTAGGAATTTTAGAAAGGCTCATTAGGTTAATAACTCCCACATGTTTTTTGGCGCTTCATGTTTTAACTGCAACATTTGGCATTCCTTAAGCCAAGTATTTTCTGTTCAAAAGGTTTAAAGTAATTTCAAAATTTGTTATTTTCAAGAGTAATATCCTAACAAGTTATATCCTAAGAAGTTCTAGGACAGATTGTCTAAAATTCAATTTGTTGTACACATACAAGTACTGCACTTACACACAAAGACTGAGATAGGCATTTGCCTGTCTGACATTAGAGTATATATTTTTCACCACAGACACTGTATTTTACTGTGATACCATGCTTTTGCACCTGGATGTGGCCTTATCTCCCCAAATGTAACCACAGTGGACAGCTTGTGGCATTAGTACTTGTGTGCATTTTTCACACTGTATAACCCTGTGTTACATTACATTCTTGAGTTATTACAAACCTGTTTGACAAAACATTTTTCCATAAACAAATTAATTTCACCTTAATCAAGGACAGTTTCACAGCCAAGCTTATTTAGAAGACTTTCTGAAACTGAGTTTTCACTGCAATTTTACTTCAAGAATTACTTCAATAATTACTACTTCTTCAAGAATTCAAGAATTAAGTCCTGTACTATGTGCAGAACAACACTATTCAACTAGCTCATTTCATTAGGAGTGGCAGAAGAACTTCTGAAACCCCATAATGAGTTTAAGCTGTTCTATAGAAATATCACAACTCTCATATATGCATCCTGGGGAAAGCATATGCAAAGCAGCCTACAAATACCCTCAGTCCTTCAGTAAAGATGAAAAGAAAAGTATTTGCTTGTGCTCACTTAAAAGTTCTATCCTGTTACTACTCATTTACAGCAGAGAACAGGGAAGTTAAAGCTCTGTGCAGTTTTGAGGTTCTTTTACACCAAGCAAATTTGGACTTTGCTTATCTTAGCAATGAAGCTTGGAAATCAGCCTGTTTAACTTACAAATTAGAAACCCACAAAAAGCTGAAGAAAACCTTGGGAAAAAAATAAATAGCTATGACAACATTTTAAATGCTTTGAGGTAAAGCAGAACAAAATGACATACAAGCCACTTTAATTCTCTTGGGGGTAAATAAAAACTGTGCTGTTTGTTTATCACCAAATGGAATTCCCCTAAATCTATGAATTACGATGAAGATCAGGAAAGAATCATGCGTACATACCTGGGCTGGTAAATTTACAACAGTTTTGAAATGACAGTGTATACACCATAACACATTATATGCAGAAAGAGAAGGATGTTTAAGATGTTATTTATTACATACTTTCTTTTGTCTCAGTTGTCAGTAAGGTGTGATGTGAATCTAAGACTGATATGGACCCTATAAGAACAACATCATCACTGATACAGAAGGCAAGACAAAAATAAACCTTTAAATAAAAAGCAGACATATAAGCAACCATATTTTGCAAAGAAAGCAAAAACAGCACAATTTTTTCCCAAGGTATGAATTTTCCCTGCAGTTTCTAATGTATAGGATAGTAAAAACTGATACAGCAGACAGTATTTAAGTGCTCTAATGTAGTAACTTGCCCTTGAGACCACACATTCGAAATCCCCTCCTCTACATTATACTTCTCCTACCCATGCTATCAGTCGCTTGCAGCTTAACTTCCAATTTCTTCACACTAACTTTATTTAAAAAGCCTGGTTACTATAAATTTGTAATTTTAAATAATGAAAATAAGTTTACAAAACACTAGACAAAAAAAAGCTTTCTTAATGCCTTCCTTTGGTTTTCATATTCCTGGAATGGACAAGAAATGAAACAGAATATTGGATTTAAAATATTCCTATTGATCTACAAGAATAGCCGACTTGTATAATTAAAAAACACACAAAGTGACTTTCTAAGTCTTGACCTGATTTATCAGTATACTGACTAAATGCTGTATATTTAACGGTAGTGAAAACTGTCCAATCTCATGTCAAGCTTTCACTTCAAAAATCATCACAGATTAGCAAGATCAGAATTTTCCTTACATATCACTTCTCTAAAAGGTGGGAGAAGAGAATAAAATACATTGAAATAGATGGTTCAAAAAATAATTAGAATATCAGTATGCGCTTTTAGCAAACATTCATCATTAGGTTTGTGAGCTTTTTTCCCCAATATGGAGCAAAGTTAAACTTTACAATATAACCTAGTTTTGCATAGTGAAGCAACTCAGACATTTCTACAGCTATCTCTTCAATTACCTGCCGAGTTACCTATGTCACAGATGTAGTGACAATGAAGGAACAGCAGGAGTGCACCGCTGAACCATGGCTGCAATGCTTCTTGGACTAACTTGGTCCTGGAAACAGTTTGGTTACTTCTGAGCAGCATAAAGCTGGGATTACTAACACAAGCCATCCCAACACAGCTCGTGCAGAGCTAGTTTGAGCATGTCCGCATGGCGTTCCTGGAACTAAGTCTACAGGGCAGAAACAACTCAGTGGTTCTACACCAGGTGAGGTCCTGGTGCCCCACTTCGTGCGACACCCAAGCCCAAAACTACTCAGAGCGGCTGCTTCTACACTGGCCTCTAAGAAGTACAGCAGCAAGCCTCTGTGCAGACGCAGCCTGGAGGTAACACCATTTTTGATGTAACGCTCCCTCCAACTAGCGTATAGTGCAGACACCAACATGAATTTCCAGAAGCTTGCCTGGGACTGCTACTGCTAACACCGAACGGAAGCTAATAAACAATCCCACAGCACACAGGGAAAGGCACAGCACACATATACCTAAGTGGTTGCTGTAGGGGCAAATAAACCTGCTGAAGATGGCTCTTTGAAGAACCTCACATCCCAAACTCAGAATCTCACACTGCAACAAATCCCAGACAGATTTTAAAACCAATAAACCCGATCCTTATAGGCTGTTCTAATCGTCTTCAGAAAGAGCTGCTTGGCAGCATGATCTTGTTGGCAAGACCTGAGGATAAAATTCATCAGGTCGCAAGAGAAGACAGTCAAAGGAACGAAAGGGTATTTCAGATGCTGAGGCAAGGTATTTGTTATTCTGTCAGCAGTGCCCAGCCTCTTTTAGCAGTACAATCATTTTCCAAAGTACAATATTATCCATCAGAAAAAAAAATTTGAAATATGTGAATGCCTGTCTTTACCAGGACTAAAATATTTGTAGAAAAGATTCAATGAGAGAGAAATTTAAAATGTCAGAGTGACTCCAAAAGCATACTTAATGAACTAACGTGACTATGGGCAAAGGCAGAGGCAACCCAAGATAAAGTGTCTAGAGAAAACTAAGCTCGCTACAGATTCACATTGGGAGCGTGCCCTCAGTGAATAAACACTGAAGAGAAGTCAACAGTCTGGCTGGCAATAGCAAACCTCTACTTGAATGCTATCTCAAAGCTATTAGAAAGCTCAGAAAATGTTTAGAAGTTGTTTTTTTTCCAATCTAGTTTGAGTCATCTAAAATATAACAGTTTTACATGTAGGGCACTATACTGCCCTATAAACTTCAAAATTGCATGGTATCAACTCATTCTTTTATTAAGTGAAGATCGGTTACTTATAGATGTTGTCAGCCTTACAAGGAAATGTAAGAAAGAGCAATAGCGTAACAGCAAGGCTGCATATACCCAAAAACCACAAAAGCATTTTAAATAAAAACAAAGTTGAGCTATATATACTCACTGCTAGTAGGTTCTTCATCAGAGATTCAAATAATACTTTATAGCCACAATATTCTAACACTAACATACTCTACCATTACTGATAGTTAAATCTTTTTTTTTTTTCTTGGTTTGGGAGATACAATGCCCCAGAAATTACACCCTTTTTCCTGCCCCCGACTCCCTGAATAAAACTGTAAGGGTATAAAATCAGGAAAATTTGTTTCATGGAGCTTCCTATAAAAGTGTCTAGACAGCCAATCTTTGTTATACTATGCAAAGACCATAAAAGTAACTGATTTCTGCAAAAATTCCTCAGTAGAAAGTGTCTCAGTATCTACAGAAATAGAAAAACATTTATTTTATGTAATCTGCTATAGTTTTTCATTCTAGTTTGTATCAAATTTGGTGCTACAGCAAATCATTAACCCACAAGATAGACATAGTGTTCATATATATCCTATATTTTAACAGTAAATCTTAATGTCAACTGTATCGGCACAGAAGAATTTAGACCAGTGAAATGTAGCATTTTCAATATTTTAATTATATTTCATAAAATGTTTCAAAATTTGTTTAATACAAATAATAAAAAATAGGATTGAATAAAGGGGAATAAAAGGTATTAATAATAAAAGGTTAACAGAGCAGTAACTGATTCTTCAGACATTAATACCTTTAAACTTTTGTAGTATATGGTCCTGTTGATCTCCAGAGGAAACAGATTTTGCTCCTTTCCTGAACGTGCCCAGTTTATATATCGTAGCCAGTTCCCTTTCTTTGGATCAGTTGCGTCAACACACATCCATCCCAAGTTTGGGTAATATACCTATGAGACAAAAATGGTGTTAAGCAAATGGACAACCGTAACACTGAAGTATACATGCACTAAAACACTACACATTTTAAAGCTATACAAAGTAGTAATCATCATCTAAGGACAGAGATAACACAAAGGATATGAGCAGAGGTAGGGGTTGTACTGGGCGGCAGTGTTGCTGGTCGTCTGCAATCATTTTAGTGGAACTGGTACTATTGGAAAAAAAAAAAACTTTTGGCCTGCAAGCCTTTCTCTGAAGGTTTTGGACTCAAAAGCCAAAACACTTAAAACATTTTATGCTTTCTTTTCAGTTTGGCAAGCCTGAAAAGATTCTCTAGATTATGCATTTAGTAAAATGACTGATTTTAAGATATAAAGGCAATAGAGCTTTATTTTTACTATCTGATGAACTGGGAAAAGTAACAATATAGTAGTTAGAAGCATTTACTATATTTGGAATGATTAGGGAAAGCATAATTTATATTTAATCTTTTTCAGAGTATTAAAGAAAATCTTAACCTTTCAGAAATCTTGTGATCACCTTAGAAACTTGACCATGTCAACAAATTTCTGCATGTTCCAAGATGCCGTGTAAATTCTTTGGTTTCCGTTCTTGCAGAAAAATTTTTAACACCTACTCCTGTTTTATATTTCAAGACAGCTTGCAATAAAGCAAGGTTACTGACATCTTCAGTATTTTCTGATGACATCAGCACACCCAGCCCTTGCAATATGAAAGCACAAACAGCTTCACAGACCAAGACTATAAAAGCAATCCTTTTGGTTAAAATGGGAGAAAAGAGCCGAACAATGCTGTGGAACAGTTAGCAGATACGGAATATATGGCAAAACATAATACTTTATTACTTTTATATATATTACTTTATTATGTTTTTATATTACTTTATTATAGTTTTTGCACAAACCAAAATATTTTATTACTTTTCAGTTAAAGCTTCTCATTTACAGAATATTGTTTAAAGGCCTTGTGCACTGTGAGAAAGGAAACAGCTCCAACTCCTCTATATAACATTGCGACTTGAAGTGATTCCTGTAAACCACAATAAATATTATTCAGCACAGCTGTGCCAGTCATTCTGAATCGGCAGATGGCACTTCCCTCAATTTTCAGTCACTTGCTGTCATTTTCCTATCTGTGGCTTTTCTCCAACAGAAAATGAAAATATGTTCAAGTCTTTATTTCTCTCCTCAGACACAGCAAGCATACACTGACACATAAACCTCATCTTATTCAGAATGACACTCTAGCATGACAGTTCAAAACTATTAAAATTCACTGGAGATGCCAGCTTTTAGAAGCCTTACTTTTTCTTCAGATTAACTTCACTAAAGAAACAAACGGGATTCTTGTGGAAAACGTTGTTCTCCTAGTTGAAGGTCCATACACGTAAGTATTCCCATACACCTAACTATTCCCATACATCATCATCCTTTTACAAACTGTATTTTCTAACAGTTAAGATTCTGGAGTGGTTTCAGATATCAGTACATGGGGCTAACTGCTGCAGTCTCATTTTAGCTGCTTTTTTTTAAATTCCAAAATCAGTATTAAAGCAACACACAACTACTTTGATACCTAGTAAGGGTTCCCATTATCGCCTGCATTGCAAACTATGAAACTTTGTAACAGCTTGTTTGCGACTATCATTTTTCAACACAAATTTAAAAAATATTAAGACATATCCACTGAGAACATTCAAAATCCAGCAGTGAGAAAACTATTGCAAGGTCAATAATTTACTTGACTGATTCAATCTCACTAAGTGTTCTTGTACCAGATCAAAATTGGAGATACCTCATGCAGTGGAGTTCGTGATAATACTAGCTCAATGCAACAAACATTGTACTTGAACACTTTATTACATTCCTGAATGTGAATTTGCATTTATGGGAAATTGTTCTAGATCAATTCCTCTGATAGGAGTTAACATTAAGTTTTGTATGTGTATCCAGTGTTTTATGCAGTTCAATTTTTGCAGGCCAGAAGGATGACTATTATCAATATATCAATAAAAATCTGTAAACTAGCGAGTTCTGTTCCAGAACATGCTATGTCACAGTTCCTTCTTCCCTCCCCTCCTTGACCATTCACTTTGCTAAAGCCATTTGCTGTATATGTCTTCAGAAAGATTGAAGTCATCTTTGGAAGTAATTATGAACTGCCTTAAAGACACTGTAGATAGGATTCAACTCCAGATTAAGACACCTACATGTTGAAATCTACATAATATCCAAAGTCTTATGACTATCAGTGGAGCTTAAAGAGCTACCCAGCTGTCCAGACAGTATTTGCTTTAAGGCAAGCCCAAACACAAGCAGCACAAGAAATACTGCAACAGTTGAGAAGTTTTATAAAAACTCCAAATGCAAAACCAATTCCCATAACAAAGCTGGTTTTCAAAGAGCTAGATGAGGAGGAGTGCTGTGGCTTCCTTAAGAGATTCCATATCTTGCTAATTTCCCTAATTTCATAAGCAGTTGACAGTACTCCGTTGCAGAAGGGATATCATTCAGGGTTCAAGCCAACAAAGCAAAGCTTTAACAGCAATAGACTCTTAAGGGGAGGTGTGATCCAGAGACAGTATGTAAGAAAATTAATACAGCAATTTCAAACAACACCAATAGTTTAAAGCTTTGTAATTCAGAATGGTTGCTCAATCCAAGTGTCTATAAATAACTGTAATGGTAGACATAGATAGATGGCAATTATTTCACATCATGTCTATTTCTAAAATCTCTGGAAAAATTAAAGGCTAGATACAAAATAATGAGCTAGTGACAGATACCTTTTTCCATTTACAAGGTGTTTCTTACCTCCCACATGTATACATTGCTCTTAACTTGAGATCTTTTTTTCTTGTCACCAACAAATGGTCCAAACTTCTTGCCTTTTAAAATTGATTTTGTTGCCCAGACACCTGAAGAGACACATATCAGTAGTAAAAACTAATCTAACTTATCTCAAGCAAATCTTCTACTCACAATTCATATTAAGATCATTACAAGTGTCTGTCTCAGATTGGGGAGCATTCTACAATATTAAGATCACAATAAGAAAACTGAATTTTACAAAAATGAATTCAAACAATCCTCTCCCTGAAACTCACTTCAATCATGAAAAGTTTAAGCATTTACCTAGTTTCATTCTTTGCTTATGGGCTACTGTAGCTCTGAAGACAAAAAATGACCTCGATTTTTCTTGTCCTTCAGGTGATATTCAAAATACCGTAAGAGCATTACAGGTTTTACATTGTAAAGTCCCAGATCTCAGCTGTTTTGCTGAGTAAATGTGTTATCAAAACAAAAAATCCTATTTGCTTTCTCTGAAACAATGCCAGGCAAATGAAGCCCACAAAAGTTGTGAAACTAATTAATAGTATATTTTGAAGGAAAAAACATTTAGGATTGGTTAAAATATATGCATCTGCCCATTAATTTATTGACTGATTTAACTGAACTAAAAATGGACAGCTGCATTTCACATTTTATAGCATGAAAACTAAGAACAGTTTGACAAATAATTGCTAATTAAACATAACAGTCTCATTCAGACCACGCTGGATCAGGTTCAGACTAGAAAAGATTAACCTTGCTCCAAGGAGCTTATAACCTAACAGTAATGCATCTATTGTCAGGCTTATTCCTCAAACTACCAGTTTTCTGCATCAAGTATCCAGCCTGCAATTCTGACTTCCATCAAAGTTCTCCCATGTTAAACTTTGTTAAAAAAGAAACCAAGCATTTTTGACATATTACAGAAATAACACTTTGCTCCATATAGCAGCTTTCAAGTATGCACTGAATCTGTTCTTATAAATTAAACTTTTAATATTGATTGTACAGTAAGATGCAGCATTCTAAAGAGGCAACAGTAAGATAGTTGCAAAACACAAAACTGGTAAAGTGCTGTAAGTGAAAACAAACCAGTGAAGTAACACATCCATATTTTCATAACCTAATCTATTTGCATCTTGGTCCACCTTTGACCCCAGTTCTGATGTTCTAGGAACATAATCTTGGGATG